AAAGGAGACGTAATATAGAACATGGATCTGTATTACGTAATATAGAACATGGAACACAAGATCTGTAATATAGAACATGGAGGTCAAAAAATGCTATCTTAAGTAAAAAGAGTTTGATGAACAAAAGTTACAATGGCTGCGGGATGCGAACCCGGATCTCTGCGGCGAATTATCACGTATCTAACTGATTGAACTATACAATCTTATACTTAAATTTATATCTTATTAAAATTAAAAAACAATATTTTCTAAGATCTATACTTCGAAAAGCGTATTCAAACAGGACTCTACATACCTTTAAAATCTGCTAAAACTTTAGTAACGTGCACACTTTTAGAAATTATTGAAATAGGTATATTTTATCAGAAACATGCTTAAGCTAAAGCATATTTTTGAGCCTCTTTTTACTATTTGCTTAAGCATATTCGAACCTGTTTCAAAAATTTCATATGCTTTAAAAAAAAAACATGTATATTCCTACCCATCATTCTTATTTTTAATATACATAATGAGTTCAAAAAACATCGTTATATATATTTATTATGGCACATTTCGTAAGTTTATTTCCGTCAAGAATTCTTTCGTATGTTGTGATCCGAAATACTTTCGTTTCGAAAGAATTTTTATTTTTTGTCAATATTTCTTAAAATAAAACCATAAAAATTTAATATGTTATTATACTGAAAATAAAAATTCATTATAAACATTTTGGGATTTAAAGATATTAATTTTTACAATAAAAATCAGTCTGGCAAACAAATTTTCTTTCTAGACTTCAAAACGTCGTTTGGCGAAAATGTTTGTTTCGCAAGTGCGACTTCCGAAACCGCTACTTTCGTATGTTGCAAAATAGTTTTGTTTCGTATGTCAACTTGCGAAATGCTAAATTTCGGAAGTGGCTTTTGCGAAATGAACATCGGCGATTTAAATGTTTTGTAACATTCGGTACGAAAAAATGTAATTCCTTGTTCTCAATCTCCTTACGAAAGAATGTTGTTTTTCCGGAATTGCACGAAATCCTCCGGTTAACAACCCTAATTACCACAGCTTTCGCGCTGTATTAACAATAGCACATTCACTTTAAAAGAAAAGAACGTCAAAGAATCAAAAAAATTATGCAGATTTTTGAGTATGAGAAAAAAATTAACAATAGATTAAAACGTAAAAGACTCGAAAGAAGTTTATAGATTTGAGAATAGAGAAAAAAATTAAGGAAATAGAAAATTATTTGGAAAAGGTAAAAAATATTAAGAAAATCTTTTGACTTCTTCTCCACACAAATTAAGGGATTGTAACTTTCGAAATTGAAAATTAATTCTTGTTCGTCCTCGTTTAAAACAACTGTGCCCATTTTTTCTTTTTCATGAGGAAACTCTTGGTTTTCTTTGTTTGGAAGGTCTGTGTTTTCTTTACATGTAACGTCATTGCTGCATTTTTTTGGTTTTACAATACTTTTTGCTTTCATTTTGGGTCTTTTCCTTTCTATTTTTGATGTTTTCATTTCCATGTTATGATCTTCATTATTAGTTCGAGTAGTTGTTTCGCAACTATTTACCACAGTCTCTGACTTTGCTGTACGCGTGTTTCCCGAAATCTTTGCGTCGTTTGTAAAAATTGTTTCAGAGGTTTCAGTTAATGTAGTTTCCTCCGTTGCACTAGGACTTGGGTTTATAGGCATGGAGTTATGTTGATGTTGCCCGTTGTGTTTGTATCTAAGCGTAAATCTATCAACATTTTGATATCTTGGAAGTGGATTCAAGTGTGTATTTTGCCAGTCTTTGATTATAATAATCACATTTCCTGTCAATATGTCTTCTCCATGAACCTTTATCTTTTGGTAACTAAAAGACTCAAATACATGAGATGTCTACCTGCCGCGAGATGTTTCCCTAAAGTGGTAAGAGCTGATGCACCTCCACTCAATAGAATACCAAAGGAATGTTTTGCACCAGTACATGTACATTTCGAACGAATTTTCGAGAGATAGTGAGATTAATGTTTTTAATAATAACTTCAGTTTCCAGAAATGTTGATACCATATTAACGTTATTAACCACGAATTCAAAATAACGATTGTTGTAGTGTCTAGTGACACCCCAAACATAGGACAGTAGGTTTTTTTTTGAGAGGGCTTCCAAAAACTCCTCAACACTACAATTGAGATCACCATAGCGACAAACTAAAACTACATGAGTTGAATTTTGCGAAGCGGATTTAAAGACTCCGAGATTAACAAGCGGAGGTTTTTGCTTGCTTTGAGGAGCCGCAACGTTTGCATAGCTTTTCGCCATTTCTTTTCAAGCCAATAAAAATTTAAAATTACGCTTCTCTATTCAAAAAAATTTAAACAGTAAAATCACAAGGACGACTAAAAAGTTTCAGTATGTGTTTTTTTCCGTGTATTTTTTTCCGTGTATTTTTTTCTGTGTTTTTTTCCGTGTGTTTTTTTCCGTTTTCAGTATGTGTTTTTTTCGTTCAGAATCCGTTTTTTTCCGATTTT